CAAAATTTGAATGAAAATGTTGACTCTTATGCAAGCGCTCTACAAGAATTATATAGAAGAGTAGAAGGTGATGGATTCCAATACCCAGAAGCTATGAAAGCAAGAAGACTAGTAAATGGTTTATTACCTGAACAAAGATCCGAGCAACAAGTCCGCTTATCGGAAAAAGCAGACAGAAGAGCTGATAGACTATTTGATATTTCCGAAGCAGCGCACCAATTGTCTGGATTAAAGTATCAAATGCAGTCCGAGTCGCATCAAATGCAACATGAAGCCTTTGGTTTAGCAAAAGAGGCGCATACCATTAAACAAGAGCAGCTTAAATTACAGAAGGACGCAGCTCAGTTGGCCTATGAAGCCCATATGTTACGTGTAAAGCAATTTGAAGCACAGAAGGTTGATATGGCCCTTAAAGAAGATATGGCAAATCTGTCATTCCGTAAAGATGCAAGAGAAGACACTATCTTTCAACAGCAACAGAAAGTGGAACGTGGTACTTGTTTGTCTAAAATCGCAACAACGATTGTTGGTATAAAGCCCACGTATTTAATTGAGACCGTAAATGAACTAAGAGGTTTCCTCAGACAACATAATAAAGGTATGTCCATGGAGGAGGCGAAACCATTAGTCTCCAAGAAGGTTTATTATGTAGCTGTGGAAGGAAGAAGAGAAAATTATGTCAGCTACAAACCATTCAAAGGAATGAAGGGGACAATGGCAATGTTGACTTTGCTTTCAGTAGGTTTAGATGGAGTGCCACCAAATGGCGTTTTTGATGAGGACACCGTCTGGGATTACCAGTCTTATGAATCATACGAGCAGGAAAACGAAGAAGAGGCAAGACTCTTGGAATTGGAATATGAAGAAAATCGTAGGCAATATGCCCAACGCCCTGGGCACCAAACTCTAATGGTAGGTCAAGTGATAAGTGGAGGTGCTAGATTAGACTCCAAGAGGAAATATTCCAACAATGAGTTAGAAGATTATTTTGGTAGAGATGAATGGAATGAGAAACATGGACATTCAAATCATGGTCGTATAATTCAAGACCGCAAAAACATAGATTTGAGCTATAGAGTAAATTATGAGTCTGCGTGGGGATGGTGTTGGGCCTACATGTGCGAGGAGCCTTTGGCTTACGCTGTGCTTGGTAGTTGGCCTACTGTGGGAAAAGTCTTTGAATTTTGTCAGAACAACAAGGTTAAAATGACCAAGACTGTCGTGTTCAGCGAAAATAGGGAAGGTGACGAAGAGAAAGCATCAAGAGTTCATTTATTTTCGCCATCGATGCCAATAATGGGTACTAACATGGACATGTCCATGTTTGTTTCTAAATATTGGAATTTTAAGGTTGGTGGCCTATTAGGTAAGGAACGCACCATTTCACCAATGTCTACTTTTCTTATCAGCACCGGTACTTTTGAACATGTGCGAACTGACGGAAGTGTTCTAGATAGGGTAAGAACCAAATTTATCCAAGGTTTTGAAAAGTATGAAGTCGAGTATGGTTGTTATCGAGGAATGGATACACTTGAAGGAAACGCTAAACGCAAAATTTGGAGAGAAGAAAATGTTCCCGAGTTGAACCTACCAAGTGTGCATCCCACATTAGACGGACGTAGAAAGCTCTATATTGCTGGTGCCATGCAACACTGGGGAAATTTAGCTACTGGGCAACATGTGCGATTCCCTGCGGCTTGTGCGACTCAAAGCATACCATTTGATCAGGATCTTGAGTTACCAAGAGGACGTTTACCAATCAAGGACGGAATGAGGTCAGAGTATACGCCGCCAAGCGAAATTAATCACAGTTCTTGGAGTTCGCCATTGTGGTATTAGGTGGAGTCTGAACCAGACTACTTTCATCGCATTGATAATCAAAGGAAAGCTGAGTCTTTGTATGCTACATATCTGTGTGACGTATATAACAACAAGGGAGAAACTAACGTTAAAACCTTTGTGCCTTCTGGGGATGAGAAGATACAAAAATACCATTGTTTCCCTTATAGGCAAATCAATAACAGCAACATCAAGATAGAGAGCGACTCTTCGGTGGAAAGTGGTTACGAGAGTGAGGAGAAGTTTGTTCGTGTGGAAGTGAAGAAACCAAGAAAACCAAACCTCGTGTGGTGCAAACAGTATAAGTATAGTGGTGTTAGTTATAAAGTGGTGATACCAGGAAAGAAACCAAAGAATAAGGTTCGAAAAGCCCAACATTCTGGGCAACAAGAAAGTTCTAGGGTTCCTGGATTGGTAAGTGAAGATATGAAAACCAAGCGTAAGGAGAGGAGAAAGAGGTTTCAGGAGTTGAACGAAACCCAACGTTTAAATCGTAGGTTAGGAACTGCAGGTTACTGCTACACCAGGATCTTTAAGCAGCCGACCTGGGACATAATTAAGGAACTCGGTAAATGGCCGACGGTGGCACAGTTGGAAGACTTTGTTTACTATAAAAGTTTCATTGATGTGTTAGTCAAGGAAAAAGTGCACGTACAAATAAACAAAATGAGTCACATAAAAGGAAAATATATTATCACTTCTGTGCACTTGCTTGAACAACCTGTCGATAAGGAGACAACTACTATGGAAACAAGGGAGTTTCTTTCGATGGACAAGGATCTTAGAGTTGGAGGATCAATAGAGGAGAGAGTGTCTATTGACAATGGCGATAGCGGTATTTCCATTTCTTCCGACAAGAAAACAACTGTTGAAAGTGTCTTAGCCCAACACCCTGGGCAAAAACTTATTGATTACAGTTCGTCAACTAGTTCTGGAGAAAGCGGAGATAACTTTACTGTAGACAATTTAGGTGTGTTTGCTGGCGGTTTAGCAATCAATTTCAAGAATTGCCAATCTTGTAATTATGTGTTTGAAAACCCCAAAGACCGTGAAGAACACATTCAATCTAGACTTTGTCTCAGTCATTTGGACTACGTTCCTGAAGCTCTTCCTGTTGATGTTGAAGTCAAAGTGCAAACATTGATAGAAACTGAAAAGCAGGGGATAGAAGAGGTGGAGAAGCAGACCAAAGGCAAGCTGCCAGAGATGTCTGGAGTTAGGTGCGTTGTAGATAAGGAAGACCCTTTTATCTTTGAGATCTATAAGAACTTAGAGGAAGACCCAGTGGATTACGCAAAGCACGTACCTCGATCTGTATTGGAATATAGAGACCATTTAGTCATTAGTAAAGAGTCTTTCTCGTTTGCAAGAGAACCTAAATATCTATATACAAACAAAGAGGGGAAGAAGATTTACAAAGTACGGGTGAATAAGTATGCAGCTCTAAGTATTTTGCCAGAAAAACACCCATACCCTTACGCGAAATTAGAAGACAGTTGCATTCAGTGGATACAAATTTATGTGGATGATTGTAGAAAACACTTGGCTACTTGCTTGCACAAGAAGGAACATGATGCCGGTATAAAACAAAAACACGCTTGTGGGTTATGTATTCTAGCCTTTAGGTCTCTAGAAATATATAAGAGACACGACGGGAAGAGGTATGAAATTGACTGTGCTGCCCATAGGATGTACCACGTCCCCACCTTTCAAGGCGTGATTGATGCGGATGCCGCCAGCGGGAAAACAACGCTAATCCAAACGCACTTAAAAAATGGAGACATGGTAATTGTGGCTACATCATTACAAGTTCGCTGGTATGCCAATTTTGCGCATGAAAAAGGACTTAAAATCACCGTAACTACTTTTCAGAGCCTCATGGCGAATTTTGGAGATTACGATGTTCGCAATATATATGTGGAAGAATATAAGATGATGCCCTACAGATTTCTACAAATGGTAAAATATATACGACATATGGGGATCATTTGGTTCGTTGGAGATTCAAAGCAAGTTACTTGGAAGAATTTCTCTGCTAAGGAAGCGACATACCAACGTGGAGACATTGAAAGCAACGTTAACATCTCTATGTGTATGAACTTCTGGAGTCTGAGTTCTATAGTAGCTTTTAATAATCTAGTGTTTGGCACTGAGTCGATCGCAGCTAGAACTGAAGATATGGAGGAAGGAGAAGTGACAAATATGAGTAATACAATCAAAGTTGTGATGGATAATGATAAACCTGGTGACGCTTTTGCCTCCGAATTAGTGGAAACTGAAGGGAAGATGGATAAAATCCTATTAGCCATCAATAAGCGCAACTTAGAGGAACTCACTTTGTAAATGAATTACTGGATACCTTATGTCAACAACTTGGAACCAAGCATAGTTTGTCAACAG